TAAGACTCCATCATCGTCGTACTGTGATAGCACCCCGCCCACCGCGTAGCCGCTCGAATCGCACTCGAGCACTGTCTCCCGATCTGGGTCGAACGCCGCTAGCGTGGGCTCTGTAACGAAGATCTCCTTTAGCTTCTTAAAGGCTAACTGCTCTTCAGATCCCTATTAGAAGGGGACGTCACCTATAAGCCTAGTGAGGGGTGCGGCTAGCTGCGCAAAGTTCTTAATGAACCTTTAGTAGAAGTTCGCGAACCCTAGGAACGATCTTACTCCCTTTACTGTCTTTAGTGCCTCCCACTCGCGGATTGCGGCTACCTTAGCTAGATCCATGCTTATCCCTTTACCTGCTTTGATAATGAACCTAAGGTACTTAGTTGTCTTAACTTCAAACTCGCACTTCTTAATGTCCACCTGTAGCCCTGCGGCTTGCAGCTTGCTAAGCACTTTTCGGACGTGCTCTTGGTGCTGGCACAGATCGCCATTGGTGTAGATTAGTACGTCGTCCAGGTATGCTAAGTAGAAGTCATCTAGGTGTTCTCTTAAGGTCTAGTTAATGTATTGTTGAAAAGTACTTAGGGAGTTCGCCATGCTAAAGGGGGTAACTAGCCACTTAAACAGTCCGAATCTTGTTTAGAAGGCTATCTTCTACTTATCGCCTAGTGCGACATGGATCTTATAGAAGGCTGCGATAACGTCCAACTTTGTGAACTATTTGGCCTTGCTTAAGCCGTTGAGTGTCTCTCGGATGAGAGGTAGCGGGTACTGGTCCTTCTTAGTAATTGCGTTTAGAGCTTGATAATTGATGCACAGTCAGAGCCCTCCTCTAGGTTTCTTAGCGAATAATACTGGCGCTGCGGCTGGCGAGCTGCTTACGCGGATGAATCCCTTCTTAAGAAGCGATGTGAGTTCCTTTCTAAGGACTAGGAGCTCTCCGCGCGACATGCTATAGAGAGGTCCCTACGGTGGCTGAGCATCCTTCAGCTCTAGCTCGATCTTGTGGTCCACCCCTAGCCCTCGGTGCGGTGGAAGCTTCTCTGCTTGCTTCGGGTTGAAGAGCTCATAGAACTCCTGGTACTGTATTGGTAGCAGTGCTCGTACATCTACGGGCTTCTTTGGTTGTAGCGCCTTGTTAATGTCTGCAATTAACGCGGCGAAGATCTGAACGCTATTTAGAGCGTTCTTATGCCTATAAACTAAGGCCGTAAACGCTGCAGCGTTAACTTAGCTAACTCCTCCTTGTAGGCGTCCTTTAGTTAACCTCACTCAAATGCCCTTTAAGTGGATAAAAATACTCTTCTTAGTAGGAGATACTGATACGTCCTAGTGGTCCATCTATCCTCTACTAAGGTACACGTCCTTACTAGAGGACAAGTCCATCACGTATGCATAAGCAGTCTCTTCGTACCCATGCATCTTGAACGAGAATTAGGCGACCTCGCTAATCTCTAACAGCTTGCCATTCACTCCCTTAATTATCTAAGAGGGGATCTGAAAGCGCTCTAGACGGTGGCGGTAAGCAAATCTCTTGCTAATTAGTGCATAGCATAGGCATCCGCAGTCTATAAGCGCGACATCGTTTGCTACGTTGTTCACAATAAGATCTACGGTAATTGGTAGGGGACGCATATGCTTCTGCTAAAACTAATTCCATTCGCTACGTATCTGCCGATCCATCTTTAGAGGCTCTAGGCCGAGACTCTGGCCCAGAGCTACTCTTTTTCCAAGGCGCTACTCGGCACCTGATCAACTTCCTCCTGCGGCTTATGTCCAACGTTGCTTAGCGCGGGCCTTGCCTTCTTGACCTAGGTGGCGTTTTAACAGTATTTCGCGATATGACCTAGCTCTCCGCAGCGATAGCAGTTAGGCGGAGGTTGTCGTAGCTTACCTCTAGCTTCTCGCGCCTAATTAACCTTCGAAGGCTCCTAGTCTATAACGTCCAGACTAGCTTCGTGTTGAGCGGTTATCGTAGTAGGGCGATCTACCACCTGGGAGCTCGTTGCGCGCAGTTTAACGAGACCTACCCGGTAGAGGTTGTCGGACGTTCTTACTGCCTTATTGACTAGCTGCTCGTACGATAGATTCTCATCAATCGTAGCAAGAGCCTCCTGCAGCTTAGTGTGAAGGCCCTTTAAGAACATACTCTTCTTAGCTGCTTCGCCAAACTGCTCGCCTGACTGAATCTTAAGACGGTTAAACTCCATGTGATAGTCTCTTACTAAGAGCTTGCCTTGTTTGAGAGTTAAAAGGCGATTAAGTGCTTTGGACTTCTAGTGTGGGTCGTCAAACTGCTAGTCTATAAAGCTCTAGAGGTCTTCAATGTGGCGTTTACTCTAGTTCTATATTGCCTAGGGTAGAAGTACATCCGCTGCCTTGCCCGTACACCTACTAACCACGTACTCGATCTGAGCGAGGCTCGAAGTTCCTTCGTACTCGTGCTAGAGCTTAGCTTAAGTCTTGTATTTAAACGCTACGTACTTTGTTCGATCTCTATTAAATAGTTCTAGGTGCGGGAACTTGTTCCTGCGCGTAGCTGGCTTGGCGATTGCGGCTGCTGCTGGGGAAGGCGTGAAGGCTCTATGGGACGACTCTGAACGCCCCTTAGCTTAGTTACGCTCGAGTGCCACGAGCCGTTCCGTTAGCACCTGGTTCTGGGCTGTTAACCGATTCATCAGCTCCATCATCTAGGCCATGGCATCCTGGTTGGCCTTCGGCGAGCCTCCTTGCCTTAGTGAGCCCTTTCCTCCCACGACGGCCGATCGTTTGGCGACCGCTTTAATCGTTAGCTTGATTGCTGCCTCCTTCCATCCGTCCTCTCTAAGCATTTGTGTAATTTCGCGCAGGATCTCTTTATCTGATACTCCTGCCTAGTTCTTAGCAGTAGCATACGCCGCCAGCTCTTCTACATTCAAGTTTGGAACGTTAATCTCCATTGCCTAATTTGTTTTAGACGTCTTGTTCTTTGCCTACTAATATGCAGGGCTTCTAGTCGCTCTTTGATCCGCTCGCGCAGTCCTTGACTGCGGCCTACTCCTCGTCAGTGAGGACTAGTAGGGCTTACTTTTGGCCGTACTTCTCTTCTAGCTAGTTCTAAATAGCGTTTGGCTGCTGTCGTGTCGCGTCCCTAGGAAGACTCGCGTCTTGCCGTCTCGCTTGTGGGATCTCGTCTCTAATTGAGAGTAATCGCACGGCCTGCACCCTGTCCGATAGAGGATTGACAGGACTTCTCACTACAACGTCCGCTTCTAGCTAACTGTACGCTAGGCCTGAGTGGCCTTTAGGTAGTTTATTACGCGACGTTGCGCCTACGGCTCGGCTTTCCAAGACACAGTAGGACTTCCTAGACAGGTCCTGGGCGACTAAATCGCCTACTGTCTCTCACGGCTAAACTTCCTGCGAAGCTCTGCCCTAGGTGTACTATCTTGCGACGGTCTACCTTCTCGCTGCACTAAAGGCCTTTCGTACCTATTGCAGCACTAACTCTGTGTTACTAGCTCGCACTAACAACACGCTCTAAAACTTAGTTAGAAGATAGTCTGCCTAAGGCTTATGTCTAATTGGGATTAAATACAAAATGTAAGGGGCTGCGCTCTAGGGAGCAATCGCGAGGTATATAAGAGGTTGTATTTAATAGAGAGCTATAGAGTCTACTTGCGTAGTGTTTATTTACTTGTTGGAGAAAGGTTGCACCGAGTGTCTAAGCGCGTCGTCTGGGCGCCGCTCAGGCCTCGCACAGATGCCGGGTTGCAGAGTAAGACCTAGCGTCTGCTGCTTAACCAAGATTCCATCAAGGAGCTATCCAAAGGGCGTTCAGCCCGTTACAAGGAAAAGGCTAAGATAGCCTCTCTCTAGAAGAACGCAAGAAGCGTTACAACAGTAAGGCATGTCTCTAATGCAGCGAAGTAGGACACTTCTATAGTGATTTAGCTAAATATATAAATCAAAGTAGTAGTTAGTATTATTAAAAAGGCCTACTACAACAAAGTAGATAAGAAGCTATACTTTAGCTACTTATTAAGATAAATAATATGATAGCTAAAGTAAGTAGTGTTTATTTTATAAACTCATTAGTTAGTTAGTTAGTTAGTTAGTTAATTAGTATTATATAAAGTATAAAAAAGGATAAAAAAGTAAAAAAAGAATACTATAAAAATTAAGTTAAGATACTAAATAATAGGGTAATTGTAGTAATATATCTCGAACTAGTAGTAAAATAACTCTAGTAATCAAAAAATACTTATCTTTTAAAGCTTTATCATATTAGTTATTACGTAACTACTACGTACCTTTGATAGGCTATTATTTATTTAAAGTTACTTAAAGTAAAAGCTACTATTATATAATTACTAGCATCTTAGATGCGCTTATATCTCTAATAAGTAGCTACTTATCAGAGATACAAAAAAGGTGAAAGCTAGCTTAGTAGAAAAAAAAGAAAATACAATACGCTTTACTTATATAAATAAATAGATAGATATAAGGAGTAAAATAATTACGCTTTTAGTTAATACTATATACTGTTATGGTACGATCCCTATCAGAAAACTGTAAGGTGCCAAAAGGTATTGTATTGCTTAGGGGAGTGTTCAGGTGTGCTCCTTCCTGGTACTTATAGGAGTCTTATCTCAGTTCTATACTAATGTAGGAGTAGGCGTAGCCTAATCCTTAACATACCCCCTTACGTACTCTTCCTTCTTCCTTTTATAGTTTGTTGCACGTGCTATCTTGTAGGCGTATTAGAGGAGGACGCGTTCTAAGAGTTCCGTCATGGTTCTGGTGTTCCAGCGTTCCAACGTTCCGGTGTTTTTGATGTTCCTCTAGGTCGGCGAAACCTCGGTGCTAAGCCTTAAGCGAGCTGAGTCCGTGCCGCCCACAACAAATCAATGCGGCGCGCCTGCCGTCTTCCGCGGTGCAACTTCCCCCACTATACCCCGCCGCCTACCCGTTTTCAACCACATTCCCATCTTTTCCTTGTCGTTTCCTGCAGCGTCCGTCCCGTGACCATGGCGGACGTCGATGCTGCCCCTGGTTCCCACACCATGAGCCTGCCTGGTGATGGTGGTGGTGGCGGTGATCCTCCTCGGAGGGGTGCCGACCTCCCCCGCTCGCATGCGCAGTCTGTAAGTGTTTTTTCGGATCGGTTGCTGATTGTGGCAGTTCAACAAGCTTCGTGTCGCCTTTTGGGAGGCGTATGAGGCTGCCCTCTCCCAGGGCCTGAACCCTCCCTCCACTCCGTCCCGCTCCAGCTTAGCCTCGTCCGCCCTCGTCCCCTATGCTCCCCCATCTTCCAGTCACTCCCGTGTTTTGCAGGACCTGGCTCCTGCCCTGAACGGTATCGCAGCCAGCATTCAAGGAATGCTCGATTCGCAGCGTGAGGTGGCTCACCAGCTCACTACCACTCAGGTAATTGCTGCATACGTCCTGGGTCCTGGTGTTTCTTTCTGACTTTCCTGCAGAACCTGCTCCTCGGTCGTACCGCTCCCGGCTCGCCTACCCCCCGCCCCCGTGGCCGCATCGAAGCGCGTCGTTCCCGCAGCCCCGAGGATACTGAGGATGAGGAGGAGTTCCGTCGGTTCCGTGAGGAGCGCTCAAGGCGTCGCGACGTGTATCGTCGTCGTTGAGTCGCCTTCGCCTCTGCATCCATCTGCTTGCCTTTCTGTCTAGGCCGGTGGCGTTTCGCTGCCGCGCGTCCCCCCCTGCGCCACATGGTGGCTGCGGGGTGCCACCTGGGGCACTTCTTACCGGACTATGGTGAAATAGTGTCACTGTTATGGATTTCTTGTCGCGACTTCGTGTCGCCTCTAGGCTAGCTTCCTTAGTGGAAGTCGCGTGTGCCACCTAGGGCATCATGTACTATACTGAGATTTCTTCGCATGCCTAGGCTAGCACCTTCCTAGTGTTGCGACGGCCGCCTAGGGGCAACTGTACAAAAATGAAATGTTCCTATACTTACCTCTTGTCCTTCCCCCCTATTTGCTGTTGTGAAAATTTTTTAAGTGCCGCTGTTTCTAGGAAGTCCTCCTTTAGATGCCATAATAGCTGCAGCCAGCCCTTCTATTTCACTAGGACTTGCCACTTCCCGCGGCCGCGCGCACGCTTTTTGGCCAAAATTTCCTCTACCTCCCATTTTTTCTGTGTCGTCCTCTTCTTCCATCCCTAGTGCTAGTCCTAGCCTTGCGTCCACTAGTTTTTGGCTTAGGAGCGGGTCTTCAGCTGCGCGTTCTACTAGGTTAACATGTACGGTTTTATGTAGGCTTCTAGGTAGGTCTAATGTCACTATTAATAGTGTTAGTGTCGCTATAACCATAAATTTTATCTATAGCTAGTCAAGTTTCTTGCTAGCGCGCACTGTTTTCACGTTGCGCATTAAGAACTATACCTTATCACCTACCTAGAACCGCTCTGCTGCGCGTTTTTTCTTATTTATCGCGTCTTGTTATTGTTGCTATACGAACGCGATCGCTGCTTACGCCCATTCTTCTCCAGTCCGCAGGTGTTCTAGGAATTAGACTGCGCGTCCTCTAGGGGTGTGCGCGCTCGCTCCTACTTCCTCCTGCACCTGTACTGGTGCAATGTCATACCCATTAAGCAAAAGGTTTGGGCTTACACCTGTGACAGTAGAATTCCTGTTGTTTAGGGCTAGTTGTCTTGTGCGAAATTCACGACAACCCGCAGAATCGCCTACACTTCTTAGTTCGCTCTCTCCGTCCCTCCATCTATCTAGGGGTGGTGTGCTGTTAATAAGAGCTGCTTAATTTTCACCTTTTCGCATAGCGCAGTCTAGAACTTTCCTAGCTAATCTAACCCGCGGTCTGTAATGATGTGGGATGGGAATCCGTAAAACCTCCACCATGTGTCCTAAAACCTTGTACCGCACGCTTCTGCTGCCATTGATGTTATTGCTTCTAGCTATACGAATTTCGACAGCTAATCTGTAATTACAAGTAGAAATTAGGGGGATTTCTTGTTCTTTTAAGGAAGATTTGTTATAAAGTCTATTAAGATTTAGGACTAAAATCTCTCCGCCACTAGTACAGGTTGAAGTAACCCTTGTCGTTTAAGCCTTAACGCATGCGCTCTATAGCAATAGCAGTTTCGCACGAATCTTGCAACGTTGTTAGATATTCCCTCTTAGTGGTAGTCCCGTCTGATAATCTAGAACGTGTTGTTCTTGCCTAGGTGTCCTAACATTAGAGAGTCATATGCTTTCTAGATTATAGCTGTGGTAAGCGGTTCCTATGCTAGAATCTATATTACGCCTCTCCACATTAGTGACCCATATGCTGACAGGGAGCAATCGCCAATCTGTTGTCGTGTATTCGCCTTGGCTAGGAATACTCGCGCTTCTTTCTGCACCGCCGCGTGTCTTACGTAATAGGCAGGGTCATGTCGCAAGGCTTCGTCCTATAGTTCTTGCATGTGCTCTTTAGCGAAAACTACTAAGCTAATAGGAGGTTGTGTAGCTTTAGCTTAAGTCTAACCTAATTCTAACGCGTTATTAGCGCGTGTTGTTTTAATCCCTACTAGTCGCATGACACGTCCTTATTATAGCCCTACTTCTAACGCGTCTTAGTCGCGTTAGCTTAGCGCGTCTAGCCTAGCGGCTAGGTGTCTTAGTCAAAACTAGAGCTTATAGCAAAAGCGTAACAACAGCTTAGCCCACTAGTGCTGTTTTTTACTTAACGTCCTAGCGCCTATAAAATATTTTAAGTTCTCGTAGTTTGTTAGGATTGTAAATAGTTTCTTTACGCTTATAAGTTTTAACGTCTATATTTTAACGCATTTGATATTATTATTATTATTATTATTATTCTAGTTTAACGTCCTTTTTTAGCCTAAAAGGCTATATAAGACGTATAGGGTTTTTAGGCCTATAAGTATCTAAGTAGGTCATTTCTAGCTACAATATTTAGGAGGGGTTTTAACTAAATGAAGGTGAGGCTCGTAGCATATTAGTTGGTAGGTAGGGGGTGGGATAGGGTAGGGGAGGTGTATGGCTACCTGTTACAGGTATTACTCCTCGTTTTCTATGTTTCCCTTATACTAGGCTTGTGTTCTAGCCTTTGTTTCTTAAATAAAGGTAATAGTTGCTTCTATACCCTCTTGTGTTTAAAAGAGGATAGGTAGTAATAGATCGCCTTTGCAGGCTTCTCTTAGTCCTTTCCTTTTCTCTCTATATAGACTACATCTAAATAGAATATAAGGTAGGTCTTGTTTAGACCTATAGTTGTAGGGGCAACTATTAGAATATACTTTCCCTCTCTTATATAGGTAGTCCCTTAGGTAATAGTGCCCTAGTTTAAGTTAGTAGAAAGCGCTAGAAATCTCTCTTCTAGTATTGCTAGGAATAGCGATTTACTTTCTTATCTTCTACTTGTATTTTGCTGCGTACGTATGTGGATTCTTGCTAGTGGCTTTTTTCCTATACTATTTAAGTTAGCTTAGCCATTCTCTCTCTCTTAGCTGCTTAATTCGCAAGCTAGTAATAGCTAGGCTAGTTTTGCTAGTAGAAGGAGGGTCTAGCTTAGTAGCTTCTTTAGCTAGGGCGTCTGCTTTTTTGTTCCTAGGGATATCTTGGTGGCCTAGTACCCAGTAAAGGCTAGGGCGTATACCTATATCCTCCAGTTTCTTTATTGCCTTTATACATCCCATCTGCTATTTTTGGCCTAGATTATTAGAAGTAGTTTTTAACCTAAGTAAAGTAGCTTAATTATCTGCATAGCCTTTTATATCTGAACAGTTCTCTACTAGCTTTATTGCTTTTTCTAGCCTTAGGGTAATACCTTCTAGTTCACTATTGTAAACTAGTTAGTTATTTCCTATAGTATATTGTTCTTAGGCTATTTATGTTATTCCTAGATAGAATGTAACCCCTACTCCTACACCTTTGCCTTGCTGTATAGCTAAGGCATTAGAATAGATAGATAGAAGGCTATTATCTGCTAGTTATTCCTTATAGTTCTTTGCTTCTATATCTTCAGGCTCTTTAGATATATAGACCTTATTTAAGATATTTGAGTTCTAAGGTGTAAAGGCGTGATATTGTATCTCCTTAGTGTTTCTAGCAAGGACTGTGGAGATAGATTTAGTAATCTGATCTAGTTGTTCCCCTTTATTGCTAGTTATAGCAATATTAATTAGGTAGTTTAGGGCTAGTTTTTAAGCTCTAAAGGCGTATTGTTAAAGAGCGTTGTTTAACCTTACTCTAGGTAGGTAAAGGCAGGCCTCTACCTCACTGGGTATAGTTAGGGAGGTCTTAAATGTGCCTAGAATCTTCCTACACGCTCTATTTTGTAGTATTTGCCTTTGTTTAAGAGCTAGTTGTTGTTGTTTCTAGAAGATCTAACAACTATAGTCTGCTACGCTAGTGATGTAGGCAAGGTATAATTGTCTAAAGGCTCTAGGTAATAGGCCTTTATTGCTATTTGCTAGTCTGCTTAGCTAAGTAAAGGCTTAGTTTGCCTGTTAATTTCTTATAAAGTAGTAATCCTTGAACTTAAGAGCTTTATTAAAGTAGATGCCTAGCCATCTAATATGCTGTTTTAGCTAAAAGGTCCCCTAGGTGGGTAGTGTGAGAGAATCTTGATCCTTTTTTTGATCTAGTCCAGTTTACTAGTTCAGTCTTTAAGCTGTCGAATTTGATTGCTAGCTCCTCTGCTAGGTTAAAGAGTTTTTGGGTCTCTTTTTCTAGTAATTTAACGTTTTTCTTAATAGATGTTGTAGATACTAATATCTATAGGTTGTGTATATAAGAAGAGAAGTAGATATTTCTATTTATTATAATTAACTAAAATAGTAGTTTTGTATAGATTAAAAATAGAATTAGAGAAGTAGGGCTGCCTTATAGCGTACTAGTGTTTACCTTCTGTAGATCTTCTACTTGGCCATTAAAGGATAGCTCTAGTAGTCTATTTTCTAGGAAGGATTTAGTCTAGGATGGTAGGCAGTAGGGAAGTCCTTAATCCTTTATATTTTCTAGTAGCTTGTTTTTAGCTACGTGATTAAAGGCTCTTTTTGTGTCTAGAAATATAGTTATAGTAGTCCTATACTTCTTTTTCTACTGCTATATATTATTATAGAATAGGAGAGCAGCGTTAATTGCTAATTTCTTTAATCTCTCGCCTAACTAGGTAGGGTGGAGTAAGTCTATTATTTCTACTAGTGCTCCTAATTGTCTTACAAATAGTCTTTCTAGTACTTTCCCTAGGTAGCTTAAGAGTGAGATAACTCTATATGCCTTTAGGATAGAGTAGTCTAGCTTTCTAAGTTTCTTTAGAATAACTCCTTTAGCTTTTCTCTAGCACTTTATTTAGTAGCTAAAATTAAATAGAGCTCAATATATCTTAAAAAGTATTTATAGCTATGCCTAATAAACTTTTTAGACTGTATCCTAGCTAATCAAATCTAGTCCTAGCAAGGTAGCTTTTACGCTGACGGAGGATGTTCAAGCTCTTCTTTTATTAAAGCTAGCCACTCCTAGCTACTATCTCCTTTGTAGATATTTAGTAGTGGGGCTAGAGTAGATAGTAGTAGGGGGAAGAGATCTTCTCTAAGGGCTTAGCATTTTTCTCTAAAGGTCTCCTTGCCTTTAATAGCAGGTATTCTTATAGATAGGCTGTCTTTTATGTAGGCTATAGCTTTAAATATCTCTTCTAGCGTCTCCTTTTATAGGAAGGTTTCCTAGTAGTTAAGCTTAGCTTTTTTAATAGCTTTTAGATATCTATATTTTGTAATAAGATACTCTTTTTTCTACTAGTTAATTTAGCTATTGTCCTCTCTACTAGCTTCTCTTTTTAGGACTTGAAAAGCTCTGTTTTAATCCAACTTTAGGTTATCTAGCTCACTAGTCCACTAAGGTTTTAGCTTTAGTTTCTGGCTAACTAGTAGGGTGGATTCTTTTAAAGTTGTTTGTACTACTATTGTAATATCTTCTCCTAGTTCCTCTAGTTTCTAT